ACAAACACATGTGCACTTGGGAGCATATTGATAAAATCTGAAATGAATTGTTAAGTGCACATATTGATGCCTTTTCTACTCGTATTAGTGAAGATATCTTACTGTCACTTAACATTCAATCCAGTATTTTGAAAGGTAATAGCTCCAGTATTACCTGTCAAAACATATAGGAGGAAAAATCTAAAACTTGCTGCTGAAGCCTTGCACAACAAATAGAAAACTCTCTCAATTTCACACAAAATTCTGCTGCACAATCTGCATTTCTCTGAATGATCTTTATGCATTTCCTATAGGCAAGAAAATATTTGTAGTTTGCTTATTACTTACTGTTGTGTGTGTACTATTGCTTTGTCTTAGCTATGAGGTCAGCTACATTAGATATCGGCACCTATTCTGCTAACGGCAAATGAAGATTCCTTAAAATGTTAGTAATTTGTGCATTTGGAGTTGAAGAATTTAGGGTTCTTCCCAGACCTGCCTTCATTTTTTCTGTGCCTATAGTGAGACTTAGAAATCTTTGGTGGCCAGTTTATTTCAAAGCTATTCTTACTATAGAGCCCCAAGGTTGCACTACACTTTCCACTGTGATTATTAAAATGTTTCTAATTTTTGTACTAATTGAATCAGAAAATAAACCTTCCTGATTTAACTTAATATGTCCCATTCCTTCAAAAAAAACCACCAAAAACCTCCTCAACCCCCCCAAATTATTTTGCTCCAGTTTCCACATTCAACACACACATTTTCATCTACTTGGTATTTCTACTGTCGTAAAATCTCCAATTTTTTAACATATGAGATAGTTTAAAAATCTATTTAAAAATGAGTCAAAAGACTTAGATGGAGTGTTCTGATCTGGGAAGATTCAGACTTGTGGCATGACACTTGGAACAACAGAAGCAGCTTTTCAGCATTGGAGCAATCTCAAGAAAAGTCTGCCTGGGTTTTCTTGGGACAGCTCTCTGATTATTCTGGGTATCAGTGACCAGCTGAGAGAAGCTATGCCCAGGGACATTTAACTATCCTGAGATGTTCTTACAGAGCTTATACAGAACTCATGCAAGAGTCATTATATTGCCATTTAACTTTGACCTGACTGGTGTTTTTTGACAGAAGATGCTAATGCTAGGCACTATGGTGCCAACATAGAAAACATTGCCAATAAGGTTAATGGACTAAGTATTTTCTACCAGCTTTAAAACTACATACTAAGTGTATTCGCGATGAAGAATTATGTAGCAAAGACGGAATAGATGAGGTTCTCTTTCCAGTGGATGATCTGCAACAGCATCCTACCCTCAAACAGAAGACGGGACTAAATACTTCCGTTTGAGGCGATACTACCTTTTGCGATTGTGAGTGAGATTGTCTCTCTTCATATGATCATTCTTCTAATTTATTATAGCATAACATTTACTACACTGAAAAAAAAAGGAAAAAATGAAAATCTATACTGCTGGGGTTAGAGGGGAAGACAGAGGAATGGAGAAGGAATGTATCACATAAATGCTTTACACACTTTACAGGTTTCCTTAGTGTAACACACGACTACTTTTTTCACTAGTTCGCAACCTTCAATGCTGTTATTTAATTTCATTTAGATTAAAATCATGTATGTGACAAATATCCCACCAACACTGTTTCATGCACTGCTAGTGTGTATAATTATTTCTGATATAAATTATGTGCATGGTAGTTGAACAACGGGACTGACTTTCTCTAGTCCAGTTTAGGTCAAGTGAGATTCAGGTGATGACATTTCATACGAAACCAACAAAGTGTGAAAGGTTATAAGCAAAAGAGCTTCTCTTTTCCTGCAGCTTCCTTTTAGGCAAACAAATGAATAATGAATTCACTGTAACATCTTCATTTGATGTACTCAGCTGTAAAATATGCACATTCTCAAAGCTGAAGCTACTCAGACATCTAACACATGCTAATGAACTAACGTTTTTTTTTTATTCTACAGATGCAATTAAAATCCCCATCTTTATCTATGCAGTTCAGGTTTAAAAAGGCTGATATCAAGCTGCAGGACTACATAATGAAAAAAAGCAAGCTAAACAGAAATGACGACATGGAGATGTAAAGTAGATGAAGTCCCAGAGAGAAATGATCTTGCCTTGAAAAAAAAAATGATCAGGCTGCAAGACACAAAAGCAATCAAAAAGGAATCAAAGGAATAAAAGAGAAAATTAGGGAAGATCATATCTAATGGTATGTAACAGTGTTTGTATTTCATGTCTGAAATTTCACTTGGTCTCCTGCTATAAGGTTATGCTATATAAAAATGACAGCATGAGAAAAAAAATAACAACTAAATGTCATAGCATTCTTTTCCCACACAGGGATTCCTGAATTTCTCATCATCAATACTACTAATTACATTACTAAGAGCTACTGTATTAGAGAAAAGGTAACCGGTATGACATATTCACACTCTAAGATTAGTACTGGATATCTGGTCTCTAATGTTCTGCATTGAGTGCATCAAACTCACTTGACCTAAGAACACAGAATGAGCTAAATTATGCACAAAAAATATGCGAACATAAGCACTGAATGCACAGACAATCCATTGACTAGATTGTATGGTCCCTCATTATACTCAGGGAATGTATTGCTGCAGAATGCTCATCACTTCCAGAGGTGATTACTATTCTGATCAATGGTGTTTTTAGGGTGCAGTCAGCAAAGGATAGAGTTAGCCTAAAACTCTGTTAAGCAATTATTGGAACGAATGAGTAGAATTTAATTTAGTTACATCAAAACACCTTTCTAGACAGTGGTTGTCTGTGGCCTGCAGTATTAAGATAAACTCTTGAGTATTTAAGCACACCTTCTGCAATGGGCTGCTTATTAGGATCAGATTTTTTCTTAGCACTGATGCTATTTAGCAGCAACTTTATTATATATGAAGCAAATAGTTAAGAAATGTGCAAAAATTCATTTGCTTAATTCCAAACAACTCTCAGTGCCTAAACTAGACAAGGCCTGTAGACTCAAGATAAAATGAAAATTTCTGATAAAATTACCCCTGCTATGTTCTAATTATCATCAGGTACGTGCAGGCAGTGGTGTTAATGTAGGTTGAATTTACATGTAATTAGAATGCAATGCATTGTTGGAAACGCAAAAAGTCTACTCTGATCAAAAAGTGATGAAATAGTAAAAGAATAAATATATATATATATACTTCAATAAGAGTCCAAAAAGGAATGACTGATGCCAAGAGATTCAACAAGTTACACAATCATTGCATTTATATGTATCCAAGCATGTGAAAATAACACCAATGCCAACCCAGTACAGCATTAGGCTTTTCGATGCATCCCCCCTGTTGCAAGCTTACACATACAAAAATTAATTTTGAAATGCAACTCATCCATGTTTTACTGAAATATGAACTATCATCCAGTTACCTCTGTAAGATACTTTTCACCAATATAAAAGCCTTTCTCCTCTCCTCCTCTCTAGTCTCTTTTTCTGAACTGTTCTTGATCCTCTGGATTTATGTCATTTAACACTATATTTATGGCATTTAACACATTGCAGAGCAAAGTTAGCTTAGTTTTTTGTATTGCTAAGGGCCTTCCAACCGCAATCCTGTTGCTTGTCTCCAACTTGCAGCTCTCTACCCCTTCACACAAGCTCCCAGGACAGTATACCCCAGAATGCCTGTGGCAGTATTTTTCCCATTACACTGTTGTTATTCATCTCCTGGACTTACACTTGCAAATCCTGATACTGTTGTTTTGGCAGGTTCCCAGGAGAAGCAGTTGCAAGTGATGTTAGAATTATGCCTTCTTTTCCCTCTTTCCTGATTTCTACATTTGGCCGTAGCTTCTGCTTTACACTACAGGATTCATTAATGCAGAGAGCTCAGCAATGCACCAGCCATGCAGCACCTTCCCCAGTCAATGTGTGCTCCCACAATGATAACAGCCTTATAAGCAGGAAAGACCCATAAGGAGTTTGAGTAACTCTTGATATAAAATAAAGAGTTATTAAGAGTGGAAAAAGTACGACGGGGGAACCACCTGCTCTACTGGAGAGGGTGTGGAGGGTTAGCCATTCACTTCCGATTGCCACTAAAAAGGGTTTATCTCATCTCTTTTTCTCTCTTCATATTTTTTTTGCATTTTACTCTCTGCTCCCACAAATAATGTCCAACATTAGAACTGATGAGTAAGATCAAATATGGACCTGCTAGTAAATCTTCATGCAACAGTGGTCTGAGACTAGTCTTTCCATCACTCTCCTTATTATACAGCAACAAAGTATTATTACTTCTATTATTAGAACAGTATCCTTGGTTTAGTCTTTCATTTTCCTAATTTCACTTTGCCCTGTAAAATTGAGTTTGAAATATCACAGATAATTCTATATTCTATTGCTTCATATGCTGTTGTAGAGGTTTCCTAGAACTCACTATGTGCTAAACAAACCATTCTTAGATTTCTTAAGCAAATCCAAAACCTCGCTGATCTTAACTAATGTTTAGTCTACCCCATATAAAACTGAAAATTGAATGCTGTTGACCACACTCTTCCTAATGCATCCCAGGATGCCATTGACCTTCTTGACCATGAGGGCACATTATTGGCTCATGATGAGCTTGTTGTCCACCAGGACTCCCAGCTCCTTTTCCCCAGAGCTGCTTTCCAGCAGGTGAGCCCCCAACCTGTACTGGTACATGCGCTTGTTCTTTTCCAGAGGCAGTACTCTACACTTCCTGTTGCTGAATTTTATTTTCTCTCTGCCCAACCTGTCCACATCATGCTGGATGGCAGCACAGCCTTCTAGCATGTCAGCCACCCCTCCCACCTGAATTCTATGATTCCATGATTCTATGATTCTATGATTCTAACTGGTGGCAAAATACAAAAAATCAGTTCTTATACATATACAGGAGGTGGACAAACACACATGGAAACTAAAAATCTTATGTAAGCAATTACTCAGCTACAACATTATTAACAGTGTGCATGTTTCCTTACCCTGGACCTCTCCTCTAGCTTTGTCATCATGACAACAGTTGCACCTCGTTGCTCCCACATCATTCTCCAGAAGTCACCAAAGGTTTCCGGCAATGCTCCTTGTGTTGCTATATAAGCATTCTGCTTTCTGTACCCATCTATGTAGTTGGCATTGATATAGTCACTGCCTGGTATTCCTGCAAAGAAAGAAAAGTGAAAACATGGGGCAGCATTCTGTACCGTCCTATTGCACAAGGACTAAAAGATCCTGTGACAAAACTGGATCAGTGAATCTGAGCTTGCTGCATATCAACTAGTACATGTGTACCTGCAAGTGAATGTTTGCCATTTGTGGAGGCAAGGAGTACGACGGCCTTTCTGGGAATAACCATTCTTTTGAAACAAAGGACTCAGTCTGATAATGAAGTTTAAAAGAAGCCTGAAAATCTGCAGCAGGTGGAGAGACCTTCGAGTGGAAACAGCAGTATTTAAAAGCTGGACTGACATTGCCGGCGGTCACCTACCAGTCCGGCAGCCTCTGCCTAGCCCAGACAGGGAAACTTCTCCATCAAGATGCCCTAAATAGGCTCCATTTGACACTCTCACTGAGCTCATAACATTTATTTTAAATACAGCAAAAAGGTTAATGCTGTCAGACTATTAATGTTACTACTACATTAATTTTTCCCATTAGGTAACTGTAAGCTTTATTATAACAAACCACACGATAGTGTCAAGTCAGGTTTAAGAAGAGTGGAATTTGCTATACAGTTTGTGCATGAAATAAAGACCTCTGCAAGTCACAGTAAAAATATAATTTAAGAAAAGAAGATGGAATCCAAGACCTGTGGTCATTTTGGACTTACACTGTCAACTGCTTGAGGCTCAGATATTTTGGACAAAACTTAAAGAGGGACTTCAGGTGTGTCTACCAGACAGATGTCCATGCTTCAAGCCACATCGAAGCATGCCAGCTCCTAAGTGGAATCTATTTAACTGAGAGTATGCAATGCCATCTTTGTACTGATATCTGGACCGTAACATGCTGTCTGCCACAGCTGACAAGGAGTATTGGCTATAGTCAAGATCTTGTAACTAGTCTGGACTGGATGGGGTAAGTATGGATATGCAGGTCCCAGTACTACCCCTCCTGAAGTCAGCAGTGCAGTATCTAGCTTTTAACTCAGAGTATGTGCGTGTTGGAAGACAAAGCATGGCAGACACTAGTTTTGATGTCACTGCTGTTTTTTTAACTAATGACTTGAGTAAGAAAAGACAGTCATGCAATCTCAGCGCTGGTGGGATGGCAAAGCAGTGTTTCCTGCATTACTGTAGTTGAACATGGAAGCGTTCCCCAGAAGAGTTAGCTGGAATACAGAACCGTGCATCATAATAAAAAATACAAAAAGTTTATTAAATTAAGAGAAGCTATTTCTCTGAGCAGAAATTAATGATTTATGCTAACATAGTCAATCTGCCAGGCCCAAGTCTATGCCATGCACTGTGCAGGTTCCAGAAACTGTTTCTAAAGAGAGTCAAAGCGATCCAAGCTCCCTGACTTATTCTAAAGCTGTGATTACTTTCACTCCACAAAGCAACAGAGATTAATTTCTTTGGCTATAAAACACAGTATATTATTGAATAAGTTTAGAGAAATGTTTCTCAAGTCTTCTGTCAGAAACTGAAAGTCCAAATCTATTCTGATGTATTATCTCCTGCTGGTGATCGTAAACTAAGAATTACCAGGGCTGCATACTCCTGTCCTTCCCGAAAAACAGTGGCATACATCAGAAAATGTCTTTCAAAATAATCTGAATTTGAATAGAAAGTAAAGGTACCTCATTAATACTTTGTTTGGTTTTAGCTATAATTTGAAGATTTTTCTCTACTCATTCTGGGTAAACTTAGTGTTTCATTCTACTATTTACTTAGTAATGAGCAAACCCACTGATTAACTATGACACTAATTAAGACACAATGCAATCTTGAAGTAATTCGGGTTATGGGTTGCTGCGGCTGTATTCTGGCATAAAATTTTGCCTTTATCCCCAAGGAAGCTTAATAGATTTTCTTGGGTTTTATGTTCAAATTACATTTAATCACAGATTTTAATTTGACTTGACTTTCTGCACAATTAAAAGGAAAAAAATGACAAAATGTTTCAGGGAAGGAAAGAGTTTTTAACTTTAGGGCCCCAAGAAAGGCAGCAATTGGCATTACTCAGGCAAGATGCATGGAAGGACACAGGAATATTAGTTGACTGTTTTCAGAACTGATTGAAAGCCACTTCTTAGAAAATAAGAAAAAAAATTAAAAACTCTCTCACTTTAAAACATGCATACTATATAGCTGAAAAGCATGATTTACCTCCATGAATGGCAGAAATCAGAGTTCAAAAGCCTCACTTTTGTAAACCTGAAACTCTTTTACATGACACTTCTTATTGTTGATATTGGAATTAATGAATTAGAATACACAACTGCCAGGAACAATGGTATATTTTCTTCCTTTATCCAGATAATAAAAAATTTTTGCACAAAACAGATGAGAAAGAAAAATGAAGCCAAGAGGAGAAATCTACACCAACTGGGTATTATTACCAAAGGAACTGAGAAAGCTGGTAAGAAATGTTTTCTGCATAAATTAGAATTATATTATGATGCCTGGTATCATACTTTGAAGCATATGTTATAAATAAAAGCCCGAGGAAAAAAATGGAAAAGGAAAACAACACTTTGTAAAGTGGTTAAATGATCTTCTGGGAAAGCTGTCCTCTGGAGCTGATACCGCACAAACTCAGTGTGAAAATTAAGCATGAGAAGTACAGCAAACTGTGTGCTAAAGAAAGATCTCTACAAATCTTAGCAGCCAATTATAGCACCTGATATAAAAAATCCGGAATGTCTAAAATTGTAAATACATTTTCTATCTCCTAACTGGTATTATATTAATAAATCAGATTAAAATAAATAACTTCTAAATTAAATAAATGCTAATTCTTTAAATTAGAATGAAGAAAAGGTTCTAGATTATACCTTCCTTGATCACAGAAGAAAGTAAAATAGAATTAAGATTAATAATTACTGATATTTGCAAAGAGGATTTATTCCCAGCTAGATTAAAGTGAAAATTTCCATTCTATTTCTCCACTTGCCTTTTATCAGGAGGATACATACACAAAAAAAATCCTATATGTTCTTTAGCCAGAAAAACCCTTTTACATGCCAACGCAGCCTCATGGTGCATGAAAAGAATGTGGCTGGGACATGGACAGGGAAGTCCATTTACCACAGAACCTGAACGACTATTAGCAATTTAACTAATTTGGTTCCAGGAAAAAATAGGTGCTGCTCCAATACTTTTCCTTGTGAGAAGGTTTCCCTCAAGGGTTTATCTCTAGCCGAATATAGTAATTTATAGGGTTATATCTCTACTGAGATCAAGAGAACAATAAGTTTCACAATGCTCAGCTCCAGTCTTTCTCTCACCTTCAGTGTCCATTAGGTGTTTCCTTTGTTCTCCATCCATTGTCACAGTCCCTTCAAGTATCATACTTATTTCTCACACTGAGTCTCTCTTCATCACTGTTTTCATGCATGACCTCAATTTCACTTCCTGTTCCAAACTCCTTTTGTATTCTGTAACACCATTTTCCCACTCTGACTTTCTATCTTACACTTTGCCACAGGAGTTTTTGCCTCATCAGCTATGTCCCCACAATGCACAAAATTGTTGCCCTCTAGGGAATGTGCCATATTTTAAGAGGCCTAATGAGGTGCACACACTCTAAAAATAACATACAAAACCTGTAAATATTCTGTAGATATCTATACTGACCAAGTAGAAACAATTATCAAAGGCAAATAAATCCAAGTATTAAAATGTCACTTTCTGCAATGTCTTTTCTGGCCATAACCTCATTCTGAGTTGAGAAAGCTGAATAATTCTCTGTCAAGTCTAATAGTGTAAAAACAATCAAATGACAACTAGTTTGACTGCAGTACAATGAAATCCTGAAAACCTTTGTTAGCTGCCATAGCTTGAAGGCAATATACCCACAAGCACAGCAGCAATTGCCATCATTACTTAAATTTGGTTTTAATAGTTAAGAGAGATCAGTTGTTCTGTAAAACCGTAGGTCAAAAAGGGGATAAAATCAAATTCCACCTTCAGTAATATTGTTATGAACCTTAACTAAGTCTATTGGCATCAGTGGGCTTTACTGCAGATTTAGGATGGCATACCTGAAGTGTAAATTTAGGGTAATCTACACAGTGCAATATGACTTTTACAAGTTTCATGAGGCAGAGACACAGTTTCTGCCCCAAAAGTCAGGTAGAGACTAAGCTTCCAGATTGTAATTCTACCAGAAATATTTTCTAGTAGCCTTTTCAGCTATAGTGATGAAGACAAGAGCTTGCAGTTCCCTTATTCTGCCAGACAGGAATTGAGCTCACTGGGGGAAAAATCACATGAATAGTTGAGAATAACAGACATCCCGTTTTCATATATATCAAGAGAACAAAGCAGTCCAGATTTTACAGGGTAAGAGTGAATAAGCAATGAAACAAAACTAACCAATGCCACGATTAAAGTGTAGAAATTTTCTCTTAAAAAATGAACTGTATAGCTCCCGATTTATGTTGAGACTGTACTCATGAACTGAGATGACAGTATAGCTTGCTGCAACATAAGACTTAGATCCACAAGGCTAATAATGTAGACCTCAGAATTATCCACTTGATTTCCTGAAGACAGTTATGATCTTAAATAGCTTTAATTAGCCTATATATTTTAGTCACAAACTGAAATCAAATAATTAAATTATTTCAAGCCCTTACAAAAGCTAAGTACTGAACAGCATTTCTATTTAAAACAAATTAAACCGTTGTTTCTGTGCTGCTTCCCTAAGAGATGTGCAGTTAGTAATAAAAAGAGTGTGAACTAATAGAATTAAATTCTGTCATGCTTGTAAATATGTTGGAAAAATGAAATGATGAGCTCAAAATACTGATGAAGTTTTACTATTGGTTTAAATCAATGACTTATATTTTGAACTATGACATAGCACAAATGAAGTAAGGCAGTTACTACGTGCCAGTAACAACTGTTTATGTGGAAGTTTTTGTAACATAAAATCTATATAGTTAAGGAGAATATCAAATTCAAATGTCTAAGCGTAAATTTTATACTATAA